GGAATGCATCATCCACATGTTGGCGGCGGATTCCGCATCGGAACTTTCCCCGAAAGGAAGCATCCAACGTGACTCAATTGGCAGGATCCACGAACAGCCAAAGAGATTTCAGGCTTTTATACTCTAGGGACTGGATTAGGGGTCTCATCTGTGTGGGCCTTTGCAGTTTGCGTCTGCCGACGGAGCTCTCGGTTAAGCTAGATTATGACTGCATCATCGCAGTGCGATATGGGGCCAAGACGCAAGGGGTATTTGACAGCGCCTCGTACTTCGTGCTGTACATGACATCTGCTATGATGATATGTCTCTGATATTGTTCAGATGTGTTGCTTCTGTATCGGCCCATGTCTTCTGTCTTCATTTCTGTGACCATGAGGTAGGAGGTAGTACCGATTCTCAATCACCGCGACCTATTGTATCGACAACGGTTAGGCCAAGCAAGAAGGCGAACCGCAGCATTCGTGTAAGACATGGGGCTAAAGATTAGCGAGGACTAGTTCACGAGGGCGAATAGAACTAGGAGGAATTATGTCGGAGACAGGCGTCCATCGACCACTGTTTCGCTTGGGTTAGACACCGGCAACTTCGGATTTGTTTCCTGATCAGTTCGATCAACTGTGGCGTTTTCTAGTCGGCATTAAGCGCCGCAGGGTGGTCCACCATGAAGAAGAAAATGACCAAATCTTCGTGAATGCGTCTATTATCCATCTAAGACAACCCTGGATAGGAGCCATGCGATTGGACTAAGATGGTGGACTGGTGTGAGTACCTGCTTGGTCACCGAGAAGTGAGCAAATAACTCTCAGCACCCGTCGGGGGACATCCGATATCACGCTGAATCTGGGTTTGGGCAGCAGGGGCACACCAACCAGGCTATGCACGTAGTAGAGAGGGGGCGGACAATGGATCGGGCCAACCGGTGGCATGCGCGACGAGGGAAGCGGTACCTTAGTGGAGGTCTAAACCATGCTAAAACCAGGCCAGACCCGGTTGGGGTGGGCTGGGCTTAATCTCTTCCGCCGACCATCTTCCTCGCTTCCTCCCCACCCGTATCCACGGCACCTGTCTGACAGCCCATCACCATCACCCTCATCATTATTACCAACGTCCTTCCTCCGTTGACTTTCCACCAAGGTCCTACCTGCTACAAATCCCTCTCCTGATTTTGGCTGCAGCGTGAATTGAATGGTGGTGTGATGGTGTGATGGTGACAATCTGATGATGGCCATACTCGATTCTCTCATGAAGAAGATACCTCTGCTCTTGGAGCGATATTCTTGCATGAAGATGATGCAGAACGTGGGATTCGACAAATGTAATTCACTCAATCATTGGCTAACACTCGCAAAAGCAAAAGCCAGATAAGTTAAATGAATAAACGAGTCAGAGGCAGGCTACCTTGTTAGTGTCGGGGACCGGGCCTGTCCACGCTCTCAAGGTCCTCACAAGGTCCTCACCTGGAAAATCTCTGCCACGCACTTCTGTTATATAAGACCGTGACGCAACGATGGCCAAACTGAGGAAATGATCAGAGCCGTCAATTCTATTCTCTCATCTTTCAATTATCTGAGTGACATTCAATCTCAATATTCTCAAAATGTCGTTCAATCCTAATGATGTTGACCTCGACACGGCCGACCCAACGGAGATCATTTGCTATCTCAACAAGTCAGAAAATGACTACAACGGTCAGCTGGGCGCCCGCATTTCGGCTATTTTCGTGATTTTTGCCGTTTCAACTGCAGTGACCTTCTTCCCCGTCGTCGCCAAACGCGTCCCCAGGCTGCATATCCCACTCTACGTCTACCTCTTCGCTCGTTACTTCGGTGCTGGTGTTATCATTGCAACTGCTTTTATCCATCTTCTGGATCCCGCATACTCCGAGATCGGCCCACAGTCATGTGTTGGAATGACCGGTAACTGGGCGGATTATTCCTGGTGCCCTGCGATCGTCTTGACCTCGCTCATGTGCATCTTCCTCCTTGACTTCGGTGCCGAGCGCTATGTCGAAGTCAAGTATGGCGTCTGCAGAGAGGACCCCGAGCCAATCATGACCAGTGCAGTGGATAACTCGACTGTGGACAAGGCATCGCCCGGAAACTCGAGGAAGAGCGAGGCTGATGTGGAGGAGTTGTCCACCACTGACACGTTGATCGAAAGGTCCTTCAAGCAACAGATTGCCGCCTTCCTCATTCTCGAGTTCGGTGTCATCTTCCACTCCGTCATTATTGGCCTGAACCTGGGAGTCACTGGCGACGAATTTGCGACGCTTTACCCGGTCCTGGTCTTCCACCAGTCCTTCGAAGGTCTGGGTATCGGAGCTCGTATGTCCGCCATCCCATTCCGCAAGGGCAGCTGGCTGCCGTGGATCCTTTGCAGCTTGTACGGATTGACCACACCCATCTCGATCGCTATTGGTCTTGGTGTCAGAACTACATACAACTCTGGCTCGTACACTGCCAACGTGGTCTCCGGTGTCCTGGACGCCATCTCTGCCGGTATCCTAATCTACACTGGACTGGTTGAGCTTTTGGCCAGAGACTTCCTCTTCGACCCTCACCGCTCCCAAGACAACAAGAGACTGGCATTTATGGTGGTCACCATGCTCTGGGGTGCTGGTATCATGGCCCTTCTCGGAAAGTGGGCTTAAGGTCTGATGGAGGTGCTGTCGTGAAATCGGGTGTGTCGCTTCTGTTAAGATGTTGCCGCTGGTTCTGATATCCGTTGCTCATGCAACCTTCTTCTTGCTCATATTGCACCCATTTGCTGTTCGAAATACCCTTTGCATTCTATTCCAAAATTCTTTGTCATGTGCACATATGTATGGACGATAATAATTAGCTAGGACGAAAGTGCTCAGACTGATAATGATTTATTTTCCTCTGTCAACATAGACCTGCACATCTACGTACTCTTCCATGAACTGAAGTGATATTCATCTCATCGATAATCTAATACTCATGAGACAGGCTTCTAAACATGAATAATGAAAATCTCGAGCTGGTCGAATATTATAGGTTCCTCGTGTCTAGCTCAATATCCGGCCTAGATCTATACGAAGGAAGATGTACTACGACGATGAGTGGCCTTTTTCGAGAAGCACGTGCCACCTTAGCTGTCTTCCAAGCAGGCTAGTACTGGCCGCCTACTACCAACCAATCTACAGAGATGCAGAGGTATTCATCGAGACGCATCGCGTCCTCCAAAAGGCATATGGTCGTGCATATAGCGAACAAAATGTGGTCCGACCGATGCGGAGTTCAACAAACACCTCGGGGAACTACTACAGACAACAACAGCAGCATCTCGTCTTCTACCATCAATTAATCAAACTAAGTTAGTTTCTTTCAATTGCAATAACGCCTCAATCGTTTCTACTTTCATCAGTTCATTCACGTCTACATTGACTAACCAGTATCTTCACACCAGTACTCTTCCCATCACCCACCCTCCCCCGAAATCCCTTCGTGAACATCCCCACCAACCCCCTTTTCGGCTCCTCAACAACAACCTAACTAGAAGGCGCCGTATCCTTAACAGTGGGATAATAATACCCACTCTCATCCAAGCTCGACGTATCCCAGTACACCTGATAAACATCGGTGACATTGGTCTCCTTGAGACGGAACACATCACTCAACTCGCCAGACGACTCCTCCCACATGAGATAAGAGCCATAGAAGAGGAAGCCATCAGTGGCGGCATCAGAAGGCGTATCGATGCCGTTGCCGGTGAAACCAACAGGCAGGATCTCGTCAGCCGTGGGACGGATATAGAACAGGGTGTCGGAGTCGAGGGTGACGCCGTCGGTGGTGGCAGTGGTGATTAGTTCGGTGTCAGTGATGACGACTACAGCATGGTTAGTGAGATTGCTCTGTGCATGTGGTTTGGAAGGAATGCTGACAGGTGACGTCGGTGGTGACGGATCCATAGGGCCAGAGAGATGAGTCACCGGCGTAGGCGAGACCTGATGTGAATGTCAGCGTGACATTAGGGACTGTGTTGAGATGACTACTATGTACCGTCGGAATAGAAGAACTTGAGACCGGAAGCGGCGACACCCCAGGCATACAGACTGAAGGAACCGCTGGGGTTGCGCTTCTCCAGGCTGGATTCGATCTCTGCAGACGGAGCGGCAAGAGCACCGGCGGCCAGAGCCAAGGCGGAGAGGACGGAGGACTTCATGGTGAGCAAGATTGATTTCTTGAGTAATGTTAACTAATGAGAAAGCTAGATACATTCATGACGAGACAACAGTCCCGCTTTATATCGTCAGTTCCTCAGCGAGGGAACTATCTTCAGCCAACTGCATAAGCCCCACACACAACATGTTTGCCTAAGCTTAAGTTCCTTAGGGATTTGGGGTCCAAAAACAAACCAATGACTGACTGAAAACTCTTACTCTGTTATTTCTAACCTCGTATAGACTATGGGCATACGTATGCAGACCAACTGTATGCGGGATAGTGGCGACTAGCGCTGGGACTCCCGGCTTGGCCTGAAGAGCCTTCGGAGGGACATGGACTGAGATTATACGCTCAGGTGCCATTTCACGACTTGAAGATGTCATGCGGCTGATTGTTTTACAGACGCTCACTCATTGGTTCCTCGCTCGTAAATCTGCTAACTACACTGGCTGGTGTGGGAGGAATGTACGATTTATGGATGAAGCTTTACGAAACAAGAACGATAGCTTCACCCCACTACAGCTCTCCTCGACCCTGCGATGAGGCGAAAAGTGGAGATTTTTACAAATATGCCCACTTATAAATTCTTATCTAATCCTTGCGAACCAAGTTTGACGGTGGGCCAGAGATCTAGATAGCAGCTCAACATCGGAAATCCCGAGATTCTGCAGACATTCCAAATATTGCTATGCTGCAAGCAAATCGACCTTTTTCTTATTCCATACATCAACACACACCGTTCAAATTCCATAATGACATCATTTAAGTACTATTCATCAAAGTCTATATATATCATCTATCTATAATGTCACCCTACTCAGGCACCCCCCTCAAACTCACCACCGTATCCCTCACACTCTCCCTCAACCCGCGATAAACCAACCCCAAATCTCCCACCGACGCCGAATTATCAAACCCATACTTCGGCCCACCCTCGGGATACTCCCCATCCCTCAACGCCTCCTCCCCTTCCGGCAACCCCCCCTTGATCTCGGGAAACTCCTCCCCCAGAACCTCCACAATCTCCCTATTACAAAACCCCCCGGCCGTCAAAAAATACCTCTTCCCATCCGTCACCTCCCCCTTCTCCAACGCCACGGCATGCGCCATCGCCGCATCCCTCACATCCACCCAAAACGCACTCCCCGTCGCCGGACACTTCTCCCTAAACTTTCCCGCAACGAAATCCCTAATCCTCGTATTCGACGTATTCACCTCCCCCAGATTCCTCAACGACCCAGGCACAACGGGCCCAAATATCAACGACGGATTCATCACCGTTAGTCCAAAACTCGGCTTCTCCCGCTCCATAAACCCCCACGCTTCCCGCTCCGCCAGCGCCTTACTCGTCCGATACCCAGCCTGTCCCTGCGCATTCGCAGGACTAACTGCCTCTTCCCAGGTAACGGTATTCCAATCCTTCTCGGAGTACTTGCTCCCCGCAGGTTTATGGGGATTCCACATCGCCGCGAACGACGACGTAATCACCACTTTTTTCACCGTAGGTGCGTACTTTTGCACGGAGCTTAATATCCCGATGGTGCCGTTAACGGCGGGATCTAACATGTCCTTTTTGATGTTGTCGATGCTGTAGTGGAATGGACTCGCCGTGTGGATTACCCCTGTGAGTGGAGGATCGTTGACCACGGCGGAGTCGAACGCCGAGAGGAGGGAAATGTCCGGGACGATTTTTATCACGAGTCGGTGAGGTGGGATATCAGGACGGATGGATTGTACCTGCGAGGCTTTTTCGGCGCTCCGCACGGTCGTGATTATGTTGTGGCCCCGGGAGAGGAGGATGTCGATTAGGGTGCTGGCGAGGAAGCCGGTGCCGCCGGTGATGAGGATTTGGGACATTTTCTTTTTTCTTTCTATCGTTGGTACTTAGTAGTTTGGTTGGTTGGTTGGGTGGGTGATTGGAAAACGAGAATTAATATTTTAGATTTCAGATGGAAGATGGAATGGGTTGAGGTGAGTATTTATACTATAACATTCAGTGGTCTGAAAGTAAGCAAAGTAGGTAGTAGTGATAACACCGACACTTATCACCGCATACCTCCGCTCCGATCGGGAGATTAGCGGGTGGGTCGGGGTTTATGCTAAGCTCCGTGAACTTACTGCCTACTCGTTGTACCTGTCCGTATCCGTGTCCGGTTACATTACTAAGACAAGGCTGTTGAGATCGGGCTAATTGTTAATCAGTCGGGCGGAAGTGGAATCCTTCGCGCATTGATAAATTGCTGTTGGCGGACGTCCAACGGATTTAGGAGTTTATCTGTGGTGTTGATTGGGCAGTTTGAGGGGTTCGGATTCGGTAGGTTAACTGCTGTGAGACTACTAGGGTCTGGGACATTTTAGCTGGCTAGCTAATTCGTTACTTTTGTACTTTGGAGGATGGATGACATCATGGGGGTTATGCTTATTGGCTTGGTGATTAGTTGAGGTACGGAGTACTACTTTGTGAGGGTGTTTTTGGTTTATGAGGGTGAGGAGGGATAGTATTTTCTGGTTGGTGTAGGTGGTCATGTGTCAGATGATTCTTATGTTTCTCCGGCCTACATGTTAGCTGTGCATGAGTGATGACTATCCCGTATGGATGATGCTTTGTGTCTAGTGAATGTACATCGTAGATACCTGAGTACTTCGTACAAGTACAAAAGTATTCATCGAATCGCATCCCTGGCTCGGATGACGGCCCGACCCGAGTTCATAGATCATGGAGCTTTTATAGCCATCAGGCAGGGTCTCAGGTACAATATATGAGATGTGAGTAGTAAGTAGTCATAACAGTAATAAAGGTATGAATCACCTCCTAATAGCCCTCACCACCCCCATCTCAAATCTCGTTCTATTAATCTTCGTCAACACCCTCCCCATCCACTCACACCATTGCGCAATCCTCTCATGCACCTCATCACTCCCAAACCTCTCTTCGACCGTTTCCACAAACCGACTCTCCATCCACTGCCAAACAAACGCCCTCCTCGACACTAACTCCACATCCCACCATCTCTGCACCCCGCCCTCCTTCCACTTCGGCTGCTCCCCCACTACAATATAAACCGGTCCCATGATCGAAAACAGCTCCATAATTTCCTCCACAAGCGCCTCATCCTCAAGCCAGATAACCTCCTCACTCACAACCACCAACGGCAACGAAAACACCACCCTCGCCGCCTTGCCGTTCATATCGGGCTGTTCCAGACGGTCTCCTGCCCCGAGGATCAAATCCACAATGTTGTCGGGAACGAGGTAGAGCCAGTCGCTGTCGATATCGAATGGGCGGGAGAAGGGGGGTATATATTCGCTACTATGACCATCCTGGCACATTTGAGCCTGAATTTGTTGTTGTTCGTTAAGGCGGTTCGTCCGTGGAGCTGATATACGCTGCGCCCATTTCTGCGCAATGGCTCGCGATTCGCTGTTCACGTGCAGTAAAGGAGTATAAATCTGTACGTGGTCCAGAAGGCTCATGTCGAATACTATCTCGTAGTTGCCATTGGGGTCGTTGACTTGGCCTGCCTCTCCTGTGTAGGGGATGGATTTGGTCACCCAGCAACCTTTTCTGTGGGGGAGTAAGGCTGAAATAGGGTGTGTGGGTTCGGGGAGGGCGAATTGCCAAATTTGGTGGCGGAGTTCGGCGGGGAGGAAGTTGAAGAGTGGGAATGATTTTGCTGTGTTGGCTGTTGTTTGATTTCTTCTTGAGGTGTGTGGGGTGGGGTCTGCTGAAGTGGGATTGTTCATGATGTTTTGTGGATTGGGTTCTTGTTGTATGTGTAGAAGTGGCGTCGATCAATTCTCAAATGGACTTATAGACTGTGGAGAGGTGACACGGAGATAATAAGCAGGGGAAAGCTGTCAAAGCTGACTGACGGGCTACCTATGTTAGTGAATGAAGACTGCGCCACACCCCCCGCATGTGACTACCCGGTCGCAAGATTGCCCTTCGATAAACTTCGAGATGCGAATTGACAGGTAGGAAAGCGAACTTGTAGTCGCTGTAATAACTTCGTTTGGCCTTTTTGGTGATTGATGTTAGATTGACGAGGTAATTGACATCCTTAATGGCTTCTTTGAGGGAGGAGGAACGTACGCGACCGTTGTAAGTGTGCACCGGTGAACCCAACTGACCGAAGTTCCAACTCAAGCACTCGCTACGTTTTCTTTATCGGAAAAATGTTTCGAAAATAGAAAGAGCCATGAAATGATCAACACAAAGATCTCGGATTTACTAAGCACCGAGCTCGTGAGCGACTTGATCAGAAGGGTATGTAAATTTGATGAAATGGCCCAGACCAGGGACAACAGCGCTAAAAGAATCAAGAACCAGCTCAGAGCAATGGAGATCATAACAGCGTGATTGAACGAAAACAAATAGCACAACGCGACTTGCACGTTTCACATCTCAGATGTGCGTGAGGAATCTATGCATGAACAAAGGAAATCAACAGCCGGCTAAAGAAAAATCAGGGTCGTGAAGAGACATAAAAAAGAAGCAAAAGAGTGAAAAAGCTAAAACAGCATTGGCTATACTGTGGGATCAACATGCACGCCCAAGCATAGGTCAATGAATGATGTTGAATAGTGAGGGTATAGATCAGGCTGGCATAGAACCGAAGGTAAAGGGAACTTGTAGTCGCTTTTTGCTACTGTACAACCAGGCCTATTAGCCATGTAATGTAGTTGGTATTCATGGTCAAGATCGTACCTTGGAAGTTCGTTCTTGCTTCGCGCAGTGCACTCATGGCACTGAACAGATGTCTTTCTGCCTCTTCTATGTGCGAGTGGATAACTGTGACGTCATAGGCATTTCGATAGTTTGCAAGAACATGAATTCTCGCCTTGGCCGAGCTACATTGTACCAGATGCATTAGCATTATTGCAAGTAAGATGGCCATGATCGCGACTTGTATCGCCATAGCCACACGTGGAGAATGAGATGATGAGGAATACCTCAGAGCAGCTTCCCCCCATTCGATCGCCAACTGTATCGACTTCACATGTTGATCAGGAGTGGCCTCCATTGTCAACAGCGGCTCGTTCATGTAGATGGCCTTTCTCTGAATAAAGATCTTGTCGAGGTATTTATAATGCTCATAAGCGTCGGTGAGCTCTCCCGACCACGGATTTTGTTTGCGATAGGTCTTAGGATCTATAGTGTCGAACCATTGACGGAGCAAGGCGATCGTGTTATGATTATCGCGAATTTCATATTTCATATGTCGTAGAGTCCACGGACAGGACCAAGGAACGTATGAATAGCGCCTGGTATGTTGGCCCAAAAGTGACCCCGCACACAATTTTGACCTCACAATCGGCCGTTTGGCGATGTGATGCATGTGATGTGGCGGTGAGGGGAGATTCGCTTGATAGAGGGGTAGTTATCTCTGGAATAGATACGGGCTATGAAAGGTGTGGATGGGCAGAGAGTGTAGTTATGGTTAATGGGTGCGGTCCCGCGCAGCTGGTAATAGTGGTGTGAATGAGGAGAAGAATGTGGACCGAGCAGGTACCTCGCTCGGTGTTATAAAGGGAGCTCTCAGCTTGTTGCTCCCTGGCGTTTACAGGGGGGTGTTACCCCGCATCTTCGGTGTTGCTTATGTCACCGCAGTATGTGCCGGGGAACGTCAGCCGACCAAAGTCAATCATTCCACTGTTCTGCACTGCCCAGATGAGTCAATTCCTAGCAGTCATCTAGGAGACTATAGTATAGTATTCCCTATGAGCAGTAAATTGGATGAAGAATTTAGCATCTATTATTCCACACTCAAAGTGAAAGAGTATTATAAGTAATGAGGGCTCTCGTGCTTCCGTTGGGTGTTACTCCTGCCCGCTGATCGACAATCAGGCACAACAAAGCGGTCGTTGCACTGATGCCAGTAGCACAGCCAGTCTGTCCACGGTGTGGCTGTGATTAGCGTAGTTAGCGAGCATCGGAGTATACATTTAGTGTTGCCTAGTGCTTCATAGACCCTATGTCCACCTGTTGCGTCACCTCATCAAAGATCGCCTTGCCCCATGGCCGCTGATTACTTGCATATCGTCGGTCGGCATCCAGATCCTCTTGACCCACCAAATTACATGGAAATTAGGCTGCATTGTGGTAATACAACGAACTAGGTAGTCAAGTATTGGTTGGCCCAGAAGTATAGAAGGAGTTCTTGCAACCCTTATGCATCACACGGAGCGGCATCATAACCGTGCACTTACCACTAGTGGAGTCTACTTTGTTTAAGAGGGGCCTCAGGCATATTGCCGTCTCCATTGTGTAGAGCTCAAAGATAATAGTGGCAGTGAACATGGGTGCATGTAGATACTCCTATCGCAGAGCTAGGTATCTATCGTTGTATTCCCTTGGGTCCTCACCCAATGATAACCGTAACCTTTCACGCCACCTCCTTGCCAACACTTCCTTCGCACCGGTGCGTTCCAGCCGCGCTGCATCCCACATAACGTAGCCCCATTCTGCAATATACGAGACACCCTCACCTCCCAGCATATTACTGTAAGTTCCTTCCCATAGTATTGTCCACGCCAGTGGCGGGTACTCTCCGTCCAAGTTGTTGACAATATCACCTCGAAAGGGCAATGGATCTCTCAGCTCCTCTCTCTTGTCCTTGGCCGACGGGTAATCGAGGCGGCGATCGTGTCTTGTAGTAATATCGAGAGCCCCGTGGCACCCACCCAGAAATTCGGCCCATAACATAACCAAGTTATTCTCCATAATGCGGACTACCTCCATGTGGTCTTGTATCTCGTACATGATCTTGTGGAGGAATCTGAGGCCTCGTGTAAGGATTCCCCTCATGTAGCAGTCATCGTAAGCTGTGATCAGATTAGTTTCCTCCCGAATATTCTGTGTGTCACAAATCAAGGCAACAAAGTCTTGGAACTAGGGGAGTACTGACTGCGAATATCGATTGCACCATCCGGGGTACATGGTCTCCCTTGGCGGTCAAACCTGGGATTGTCTTCATGAAAGTCCCACTCGATAGACTTGATGAATTCTGTGCATTTTTCTTCCGCAAAAACATTGATGCTCCATAACTCCTCCAATTCCCAGGGGTGATAGAGACTCTCAAGAAACTGGCATATTTTGCGAGTTTTTACAAACAGGTAATCCTGATAGTCGCCACTAACATGGTCTTGGTGAGGGCCAAGGCCAAACAAATTGCAGCAAATCTGGAAGCGATACAGAGCGCGGATGATCCTGAATTCCTCAGACTCACTTAGAGGCTCATCGACCTTGGTATGTGACGCTTCCGGCTCCTTTGCCAAATTGCTCAGTGCCCACTCAGCATAGTGTTTTGCAAAAGGCTTTATCACATCAAAATGGAAGGCCATCATGTCACTGGCATCCTCTCTAGTGATATCTTCTGTTAAATTAGAGAACCTGGACGACGAGCTCCGCTCCTTGAGAGATTGACAAAATTGAAGGATATTGTTGGAGGTGCGTGCTTCAGAAAAGGCTAGTGAGCCAGTCTCATGAACAACAGATGCTTCGAAGAGCAGGCTACCCAGTGTAGCTTCCAGACAGCCAAAGAGAAGAAGGTCGCGATCGACAAGATACTGTTCAAGGTAGATGGGTGATGCTTGAACCAAAGCTTTGAGTCCTTTATAGTCCATGAAGGAGAGAATCTGAAATCGAATCTCAGCGGGGAGGGTCTCAAGGTGTGTATGCGAGTGCGAATAACAAGTGTCATCTGTAGTTAGGCTCTCAGATAGTACCGAAAGACTTGAGTCATCTGCCAGTACGCTTCCAGACAAGTCCGACGGTCCTGAATCATCAGTCAGTATGCTTTCAGAAAAGTCTGAAAGTTTCGAGTCATCTGCCAGTGTGCTTTCAGACAAGTCTGAGGGTTTTGAGCTATCTGCCAGTAGGATTCCCCACAAGGTCGAGGGGTTCGACTGATCCACTGGTAGACTTTCAGACTCATCTGAAAGGTTCGAGCCATCCGTAGTTGAAGTTTCGACGATGGTGTTGTCGATAGCCGGGGTTTTATGGATGACTTTGTCGGTAATGATGGTACCCATGATCGAAGCCATAGTGACAGGGGGTTGCAAAGGGTAAGTCGACTCGAAGTTGACGGGGGTCTCTCAGTCTCTTGAGTCATCGCCAGGAATTCATTTGGCAGTGAAGTGATTCTGGAGTCCTTAGTCTTTTAAGCTCTTCGTTCGATGACATAAGCGCCACCGCTGAAGCCCCTGCCGTTTCGGTAAATACCAGGAGCAGCTGCAAAGGCCGGACCAATACTTCACAATGAAAGCCTAAAATTCTGAAAACTGCAAGGAAGGCTCCTAAGTATGAGTCATTGTATCTTTCCGGTTAATACTATTTCATTCACTCTAAATGCCATGCAGTAAATTACCAGTAGTAGAAACTGCGGCTGGAGGCAGTATGCGTGTGAGGTATCAGTTTTCTTTTGGGGGGAAACTCTATGGCCCAGAGAGCAATGAGATATAGTTCACTCGTCGCTGCTCATAAGTCTGGAATGACTGCCGTACGCTGCCACAGAAGAACACCGAGATGTCAAGATTTCTACGCACTACTGACTATTGAGATGTGGCATTGAGGATGTAAGAGTTGGAACCGGTGTATTGATTTTGTTCTCCGGTGTTTCCGATTCATCCAGAACATGGCCTGGGCTCACGAAGTTTCCCAGACATAGAAGATTGCTCAATTCAATTCAACCCATAGCCTTCAACCTGACCGAGCCTGCAGATGCTAGCTGTATATGGAAGTGCTTCACCGTTTGAAGCAAAAATACGGCCCGGAATGCCCCAATTCAGCAAACCTCGCAAAAGCCACATATAAATCACGAAGCAGCGCAAGCTACGCCGTAAAAGGTCGCCCTCGTAGCGGTAAACACAACTGAATTTACAACAAAAGCAACACAAGGTATAGTCGTAGAATACGAGTATAAACGAGCAGCGCAGTAAACAGCTGCCCGCAGGCACATCCTCTACATTGATATATTCCCTTGTTTCCAATATGTTCATTCCTCCTGTACGCATATACTTTCCTGCTGGTTCAAACAGAGCGTATTCTGTTCTTGTTATCTAGCGCCTTCAGAGTCTACCACCAAAGCTCTGAGCCCTACGTGTTCCTGGCTTTGATCGGGGTCAGGGTCAAGCCTAACTTGACTGAACTACCCGAGCAAGCCTGTTTGCAACATGAGTTCAACGATGTAGATTCAGAAAGTCGTAATATGTTCTCCCCCCATTCACTTGATGGAATGTGGATTCACGATGTTGTATTCACATACTGCTTCACACCGATCATCCAGACGATTTCGAAGTCGCTAGAGAATATCCGGTGTTATACCACTGGCGGCGTCGTTAGACTTCTTCCACACGTACTTGTACCTATTCCTCTATTAGTTGAATACTTCAATCAAGCTCGTAACGGAATCCCTTTTTTGCATATCTCGGCCTCTTTTGATACTTCCTTCTCTTGCGCCGAGTACGTGAACACCAGTCATAGAACCACCCCCGCAAATATGACCCACTCAAACCCTTCGATATCATCCAAAGAAAGCTCTGACTCGGAGTCTGAGGTCCTGGGGCCATGGAATGAGCTCCATATCAAGATAAGGGCGATGTTTCATGAAGTGCGATCTCTTGGAGAAAGCGCGGCCTCCTTGGACGAATGGGCCCAGACCATTGATTCGGATAAATACCGGAAGATGGATCCATGGCCCCAGGACCTCATTGACGCTCACGCACAGTATAAAGAGTATGTTGATTCGATAAAGCCGGCCCACTATGCGTACATAGCATACGCCCAACGCTTGACGGATGGGGAGGTGGAAGACACCTGCGAGACAAGAATGAAGATACTGGAGATATGTCTGCGGTGGGGTGAAGCAGCATTAGTGTATGTTTTATCATCCGGATTTTCTGCTGCGTTTTTCGTATTCCCCTCTCCTTTTCCACGTAACCTATGAATGTTTCCAAGTGACCCGTATTCTGGGTATAAAAGCTTGCTCTTGGCTAACGATTTTGTTCTTTATCTTATTCAGCGCAACTGAGGCCCGGCTCGGCTTCCTTGACAGGTACCGTAATGCGTTCAAAGATAAGAAAGCAATCGTTGGGCATATCCAACAAGCAAACGCAAATAGAATTAGTGCCAGGAACGCAGTTAAATGGGCAGGCAAGAACTACCGAAGTAAGTCCGAGGAGGATACGCATGACAGGCATTCGGGAAGACATTTCAGTGGCTAATTAGATCGTTGAAATAGGGTATTGGCAGAACATGATTCGGGAGCAAAAGTATGGAGATGTTTTCGGTGATGATGATAAGAGGGATACCTCCAATGCCCACTGATAGGCTGACTCTACGTACTCTATTGAGCCAGCCATTCTGCCGGCCTGACATTGTAGGGGGGTTTTGTGACAGTGACACGTTCGCTTTGGAGCATGAATAGGGGTTCTGCGATATTTTTATCATGAATTGACATCGTTACACATAGGGTCCTCATGTGGCCATACCTTAGTCAGTTTTAGCTCACTGCGGCTTTCAAATCTTTTGAATTCCAATCCTTGCACTATTCTGATTGCTGTATGACTACATAAGCAGCACAAATATGGGCAAGTGATCCAAGCTCTAGCACCAAGGGTAACCGTTGCAAAAGTACCGAACTACATCGCATCTCACAAAAAATCTGCGAAAGGGTTGGAATATGTCGCATGACCGAACCAAACGGGATCGAACAGACCGCGCATCGGCGTCACTGTCGAACGCAGTTCAGATCCTCTTAATCTTTACTTGGACTTGGGTCTTACCTTTAATCTTTGCTTTAATCTTATTTCCATCTCAATTCTCCAGGGGTACCAAACCAGCATTATAACTGAGTAAATACATGATAGACACTATGCCCTTTATGATAGAAGAACCTGCGCAATTTTCTGTTTTATTGAAGTACTATGTTTATTTCAATGACATAGATGATATAGGAACTGTATCAGCATGCGAATTTCCGAGAATATTAAGATAAGCCAGCGTCTCAAGCGAGACAAAAGAATACATGTCACATGATATCGAGTATAGCTCGCCGTCATATTGAATACAGCACCTAATATATCTAGCCAAAAATTGCCCCGTTCAATTGCCAAGTCTTGAGGCGCGCTACAGCAAGCAACGAACTGAGCAAACAAACACGAAGCAAAGAATGCAGCAAAAGAGTGGTTGTATTGGCTATCTAAGTGCCCGCAGCGAAACAACGCGAAGAGGTGCTTTGTGTGGCGGCCTGAGCGCGAAGCACGTGACTAAGCCTGCATGGGTGGCTGTAGACGTTTTGAACCATATCTCGATCGTGTTTCCAATATATTGTCAATTGACATAAGAAAGTTGTTTTCGCCGGCTAGTTAACAATATTGCTGGAATTCATGTATATTTCTTGAAGTTTCGACAATATATTTTCTTCGCTTCAATTTCCGCGACCAACCCTTTGTACTCCTCGTGGACATCAATAAGGGTCTCGGACCAAGGCACTAACTTCTGGTTTATGACCCGATCTTTAGTCAGAGCGCATGCGTCATGAAAGGCAAGAGTTTTATGGTGTGTTCTCTACCTCATGGTAAATTGTTCCAACAATGACCATCTTCGATATGTTGTCGAGTCAATGCTCTGGGCCCATTCGTCCAGTGAGGCAACGGTATCTCCATGAGACTGGACCTCATAGAATATGGCCCTTATCTTTGCATGGAGCTCATCCCAGAATGTAGTTGAAAGCGATGGCGTTTATCCGGCGCGCTCTGGGGTGAAAGAAGTTGTCAAAGACATCAAGCATGCTCAGTATTTACCCGAAGAACACGCACAAGTGTCCCGAGTGGTATATTGAGTTTCTCGTTCATTGTTACGGAGATGCATCAATCTTTTTAGTGTCTGGAGTTTTCAAGTATCTTCACCTAGTATATGAGCAGGCGATTGTGTTTTATCTGCGTGGAACAGACCCCGAATGTAAGGACAGCAGTGCGCAGACCCTGAAATTGGAGGGAATTGGTCGTTCGCGAGAAAGAGTTCTTGACATCTCATGTAGTCTGAAAGACACGATGGACAGATGATGTCTTGCGTTGAAGCCGTCCTATGAGAACTGAGAGATGTGAAAACGAAAGGTCGGATGCAATTCGTTACCGCTTCATCACCTCGAGTTGACTGACTGCTCCCGATCAACCGGCACACCCAGAGGATAAGTAGTCAGGGGGTTTCATTTCTTTCTTGCTTCTAATTGCTGCTTCTCCCTGCGATTGAGGACAAGACAAAGACAATATACACGTTGGGAATTTCTTTGCGCTTACACGCCAGCTTGAGTTTGAGTTTGGCTCTGTGCATCCAACACTTGAAGCCAACGCCCATATGTGGATGCAGAGGACGTCATGGGAGTCTGTTAATTATGGTTGAGATAAAGCTGTCCATGGGAAGGATGGTCAATTGCATCCCAGACTCGTATGAGCTACAGAGACTGTCGGGACCATATTAGCCACGGGTTATCATACTTATTATAGAGGCACCGAGGGACATCAGGCTCGATAATGAACCCGCAAATCGGCGAACTTTCTTCATTTGATCGGTACGTATTCTGGGATGTAGAGGAATATGTCTGTTATCTAGGCTTCTGTGTCGTAGGCAGCATAACTGACGAGTCCCGCTAAGGCTGATGCAGGAGAACTGGAATGACTCAATAGAGCAACAAGAACGATATCGGAATGGGTCATATTGAGCCCGGAGGGGAACCATTCGCATCCGATCATCTTGACAAGTCTAACACTACATGAGACTTGATGCTCATGAGAAAGTTTGCAAATCCAGCATATTGGTAAGCCGGCACAGAGTCTGAGACGTAGGTCGCATACCTCGGACTGCCCAGGCATCCCCTTGCACCAAATATTGACCTCATGGAAGACACCTAGCGACAGACCAGCTTGATGAACGACAACGCAACACCCACCACAAACCACTCTGCAAAGTTCCTCGTTTCGAACAACACCCACAAATCCGTCGTGAAAGAGAGCGCGGTCATGAAAACCAGCATAGAGAGTTTTCACATGTCGACAAACTCTCAGAACCCGTAGAGGGAGAAGTCGGCGGCCTTATGTTCATGCAGCACCATTGATATCTCCCAAGATCGAGTGACGCATCTGCTTCGTACCAGATACTGCCAACGGCACGCCTGTTAGATCTTTTCCCCGCATGGGTCCCAGTTGGCGCAACCGTCGTCGTAGTTGTTCTTCATCATCTGCCGGCTGTGCAGCTGGCCGTGACGACCAAGCCGGAAAATGGAGACAGTTTTCTTTCCGTTTCTGCACTGCATGATGGCCAGAAAGATCTCTTGAAACACGATAGTGGTGGCAACGATCAGTCAGGCAAGGAATATCATTGCCACACTACTGAACCTGCTCATGGTGCGTAACCGTGACTAATCTTATGTATGCTGATTTCAATTTCTGAATGCATCCCGTCGCGGGGCCATCCGGGAGGATGATGTCGTCTAGGAACTGGTCTCTATTATGTGTTCTGAAGAAACTGTATCCATTGCTAGCTTCATGATTACCCCAATGAGAGCAATGGAAAGTTCTATCTAAAACACATCAGTCGTGATGCGAGTTTGTTTAGGACTGGAGGGCTTACCATTCTTATATATAAGATCCGGCTAAGCGAAACTGAGATCGACCACCCACATTCGTGACCTAAAGCCTTCTCACGAAGTCGGTCTGGAGATAGGGGAACGCTCAGCTCAACGAAACAGCGACTATGGCAGTTCCCCCATGCTCAAATGCTGGGACGTTCGTCAACGAGACATGCTATGGGCGTGTGGGAACACCAAGTTTTGGGTTGTCCGCCCATTCTAGGACCCTTTCAAAGTGGACGGAGTTCTATCGCGAAAAGACTTTCCTAGAGCGAATGGAGTACTAGGTAAACGAACGAAATTATATATTCGAAAGTGGCAAAAATCAGGTGAAGCAGTCAGCATTGGTGAAATCAGTACAGTGACCGAGAAGAGTGGTGGGAAATGTTGATTGAATAGTATGATTTGTGTACATGGATTCCCAGAACCGTAGGGAATGAAGAGCTATGGAATATCTATTGCAGGGATTTGATATACTTCACACCCGCGATCCAGTGGTCTAACGACATTGAATATCATAGGTTAATAATCACGAACGCACACCCACCTGTTCGAACCGTCTTTGACAACCCCTACTGGTTGTACGTTGGTTTCTCCAGGAGAAGACAGCGATTGCGTTTCCTTTGGAGGTCCAGATAAACACACCTGATGGATGAGGGATCCCACCCACCAGCTTTATCATTGAAGTCTTGCGTTTTGTTCCTTTCTTTGTCGCAGTCACAGGTCGCCACACCCTTGCGAGCCGACGGCCACCGAGTGTTCAAACACCGTATGTCTGCCTTTTGTGATGATTTCCAGATACTCGTCCAAGTAACCTGTCGCAGCAACTCGGTCCGCGTTGAAGGGAAGTTAGGCGTCTTATCCGGTAATCTTCAGCCAGATACCAACAACTTCCCATACTTCTGCAGGCAGTAGATCCTCCGATCGTCATCATGTTTCATTAAATCCTTTCTTTAAATCTCGCTCAGCAGCATTTCCCAGTAGAGGTCGCTGAAATTGAGATGGGCAATTCGCTGGTGGTATGGACCGTGACACAGGCCGATATACCGGGAAGATTCATCTTTCCCGAATGATATCGAAGTCATCATCGGACTCCGGATGAAAAGCATGTTCGGCTGGTACTAGGCCATAGCATCGATCCAGAATCGGTAGAAGTAGCGTGCTGAACAAGAGCAGATGCGTGCATCTTATCGAATTGTATATAAGGTTGCTGTTCTGTAATGGCTCAACCGATGCTGGATAGGGTCGAGAAAGGGTCACACCAAGTGGCCTTCTGGTGAGATAAGTTTCTGGGCCCGAAGACACGCTATTGAATATCAAACATTGGATTTGGCCTGAGCAGTGAGGGGTTATATATGGAGATAGCCGAGCTTCAGAAAGATTCATCATGTACGTTGGCCAATGTGAAACGGTCTCGCAGGCAAATTGTCAATATTCAGTTTGACAAGCATCTGCTCTAATCGGATGAGGAGCAAATTGAGTCTGAAAATGTAGGTCGAAAACTTCATAGTAGACACGCACTTGAGAGACGGTAGGAACACCCACAAAGTAGAAATCGAAACCATCTTAATTGAAAAGATCACTCCTGTGATACCACAACTGAAACCAGGCGTATCTACTTGGTTCTGTAGGCCTGGAACGTGGTCCCCAGAGAAAGTCGTTTCTTCCTGGGCTGTTTTTCCGACACCCAGAGCCATTC